CTAGGCGACCACGGCACCCCGGAATGTCCCAGACCAAGGGACAAGGCCCTTCTGGCCAACTACGGTCCACCCGCATGCGTCCTCTGCCATTCGGAAGGACACACAGCCAACTATCTTGGCTGCCCGAACGCACCTAAGCGCAGACCCATTAGGCCCGCCCCTCAGGCAACAAGAAGGCAGCCGATTCCAACGGCCGCCTCTTTCCCTCCTCTTCACCCCGCGTGGCAGAACCCCATGGCCCCCGCTTGGGCCAAACCGAATCCGCCACTCGCGGAACCCAAAGCTGCCCCTCAACCGGCGCTCATCCCAACACCACCAAAAGCGGCCGGGGGCAACCCCCTGGACTCGCTAAGTCAACTCCTCCGAACCGTCGACATGGCGGAGGTAATGTACTTTGCCGAGCAGTATGCCAAAGGCAACTTCAGCTCTCGATTACTCCTTCTAGACCAGTACCAGCAATAGTTGCTGCGCTCTCAGTTTAAACCAAACATGGATAGTACAACTAGAAGCAATAATAACGAAAATATCAGTCCCTCTGCCACGCGTAATAATGGCAGAGTCAAACCGCGATCGATCAACGTAGCTTTCTACAACGCGAACAGGCTCAAAGAACAACGCGACGAATTACGTATTTTTCTGCGCGATCACCAAATCGACGTATTACTAATACAGGAAACGTTCCTGAAACCCGCGACAAGGGATCCGCACATCCCCAACTACCGGATAGTTAGAAACGATCGTGCCGGCGCCCCGGGCGGCGGCACACTAATTTACTATAAAAAATCCCTCCACTGCGTACCGGTAGATACGCCCGCGCTCACGCATCTAGAGGCATCCGTCTGTCAGCTGGCACTAACTGGCCACTCTCCCATCACTCTAGTATCAGTCTATCTCCCTTGCAGACCAACCGCAACTATATTGCAATCCGATTTTGAGGCCCTCTTCTCCATAGGAGGAGCCACCATATTAGCTGGCGACTTCAACAGCAAGCATATCCGATGGAACTCGACACGCACCAACAGTCGAGGCACCGCACTCGACTCGCTATCCGACAGGCTCGACTTTGAAGTTGTAGCCCCAGTCGAACATACGCACTTCCCTTATATAGAGGGACAATCATCGGATGTGCTTGATATTGCAGTCGTCAAAAACATCAATCTGACCATGCGCGACCCGGAAGTGATTCACGAGCTTCACTCTGATCACCGACCAGTCCTCCTTCGGCTAGGGCCCTCAGCAATAGCCGCCCCCCAAACCAAAACAGTCATTAGCTGGCATAGAGTCAAAACTAAACTTAATGAGCCCAATCCAATATTAGAGTCGATCCCCGGCCAACTCAACAACAAACAGGACACGGAGACCGCAATTCGGGCCCTCACGAGTCACGTCAACATCGTCGTCGAGCAATGCTCGAGACAGGTTCCACTCTCAAACCGCACTCGCCGACGAGTGCGGCAAACATATACTAGGTTCCGCCACGTACCTGGCAGGTTCTCCCCAGTTCAAGATAGAAGCGTTGCTGGAGTTTCTTTCGCCACTTCTTCTCCCAGCGCCAACGCTTTACGAAGTGGTAGCAACAATAGCTCTAGAGATCCCCCCAGTCAGATAACAGCTACCGATCGAGCCGAGGTCCGGCCCTCTCGGGCACCCTCGAAACGGAATGCTAAACGCGTGTTGAGTGACAGCCCAAGCCGAGGTCCCCTCTCGGGGACCCTTGAGCCTGATCACTCCATGGAGCCCCCGCCAAAGCGCCCTAAGAGCTTGGCGGCCTCCCAAACCGGTGAACTAAATAGCGTGACGGCCCGAGCCGAGGTTCCTTCGGGAAACCTCGAGCTTAGTCACCATAACGCGTAATAATAAATACGCGAGGTTCAGGCTAGGCGCCTCGAGCGCCCGGCCACCTCAAGTCCGTCGGAACTGTAAAGGCCCCTAAATAAAAAAAAAAAAAAAAAATTTCTTGCCGGTCTCTTCTCAAAGAAACTACATTCCGAACCTGTAGTTACTTACAACTTATGAATCAATTATTTATGTAAAATTCGACGTTTCATGAGAACGCGCAAGCGTCTATTTGAATGAAGATATTGAATTTGGATTGAATTGAATAGTCTCGTTTGCTTAAATTGAACTAGCGAATTCTCTACATTCTAACTACTCGCTAGATGGCGTTGATTGCTCTTATTTGCGCTCGTAACGGCCGCTTCGAGTGGGCAGGCGTTTTACGGCGTGTCAAAGTCTACATCTCGTGTTGCTATGTTAGGTTGCGATTCTACCGTTCGAAGTTGTTAATTGTTTCACGTTGTCTACGCCATTTTTTTTAAATATCAATTCGTGATACGTATATAGATAAATAAATTTAACAATCATATTGAATTATATTATAACGCACACACCACACATTACTGGTGATATTATTTATATCTGTTCATATCCCTTCCGTTCTGCTTCCTTATAAAAACACGAAGAACGAACGAAGATTGACCTTTCTTTCTCAACGCTCGCACGCATAAAACCTAAATCACCACAACGCTGTGGTGAAGACTATGTTTGTGAAAAACTCCTACTCAAAACTTAATAGATTTTGTTTTGGGATAAGACCATTGACCGCGGTTAAACTGAGACATCGAACGACAATTCCAAAATCCAGATTCCAGGCACCAAACTTTTCCTACACAAGTCGTATTTCAAGTTTGATTGTATATTCCCGAGTAGGTATTTCACAAGAAATCGCTATTTTAAAGATACGTTTACGAAAGGAAATCTATTTTGAACGTATGAAATTTTAATTAGGTGAGCAACAAATTAGTTATAACAACTTAGTCACAACGAATAACAACTTAATCTGCCCCGTGACCGCAGGAAAGGGTTCGAAACGTCGGAAGTTCAAATCAAAATAAAAAACGCGATAAAATCCTTAAACTAGTTTCATTTAATAATCAATCTGAGCAAAGTTGATACCATGGGTACTAGGAAACTGATAAATATACCTTTTCCTTTGTTAATAAATACACATTATTGGCATTGGAAGATATCATAAAATATTTCGCTATAAATATTTCCAAATCTCACTTATATTGAAAAATAAATCCCCCGATAAAAAAAATATTTATTATGGTCAACGCTTGGGATTGTTTATGGGAAACGATTAAGACTAGATTAGACAGTCGATATGAGTTTTTCGAGCGTTCGAAGCGAGCGTTTGTTGTAGGTGAGCCGCCTACTCGTTTGCCTCCATAAAAATACAGTGAACATAATAATTTATCTATTTTGTTGGGCACAGTATGTACCGAGATCGTACGCGAACTAAACGCATTTTTAATTTTTTTTATCGATGTTCAGTGCTTAATTAGCAGTGACAAAATGCAGTCGCATTCCGGCTGTCAAGCGCGCCGTACTAAGCACATTCCCCTATCGACAACGTCGCGTGCTTGAATATCGAAGCCTGTAACCGTTATGTCCGCGCATCCTATCGCTGTGGTGAAGAACTCTCAACCTATTCGCGTGTAACCAGAACTCTGATCGGAGGCCTGTGAAACGAAGGTCATCGACGGCTGGTAGCAGTGTAAGGTACGTGCGTACTTTATGTTTGTTACTGCCTATTTCAAGGATTGAACATCTATCATCGCAAAATGTCTGACACTCCGTGTCTGTCCCAGTGTGGTATTAAAGCCACCCCATTTCGGCTAGGTGCGTATGCTACACAGTAGCTTAGAAGAATAGTAGATAGAATATTGGATTGTGCCCTATTTTAACTTTTACCTCGCATTCATCAACAAAAGCACAAGTCTTTTTATTTGCACTTATTTCTTCGTCTTTTCGTATAAATTATTTTTATCATTTATCAATGAATATTGTTATTGATATTGTACAGAAACAAAGAGTGAGAGTAAGATATATATGTAGATAATATCGGGTTAAGGCTCTAGAATACATGTAAAGGTCAATGGCCGAACACACGTATACAACTAGTCAAGTTCGCACTCAAAGGCGTCTGCGTGAATGTGGAAACGGTATGAAATGTTTAAAGAAAACGTTCAGAGTGGTGCATTAAGGTGCCCCGCCTCGCAAATTGCATTGTACATAGCGAGACACTTGACTTTCGTAGTGCACTTACAAATAAACGACTGCGCCTTGCCCAAAGACGTCGGTCTTTGTAAAAACGATATCTTGTGTTTGCGAAAGTACTTCGCTTTCAACATGTTTCTTTACGGGATTTCGTCGTTAACGTTGTATGGAGCCGACTGCCTCGGTGGATATGGAACTTGTCTCTTGTGCTGGATGGTGTACGTTTGAGTTCCCCTACTAGAAAATTATGGTGTGGTGAACATAACGTTTTCTTTATATGTTTGGTATATGTTTATACTCAAAGTCGGTCAGCAAGCTCTGGAGCGGTATCCTCGGTATTTCTCTGCGTGATAAAGTTTGTTACTAGCACATCCGCAGTTGAACAAAGATATCCGCTCAGAAGATTAGTAAGTTAAGTGGCGATGGGCCGGCCATATAGGTCGTAGTGCCGATAACGCGATAACCTATGGGGTAGGAAAGGCTGCCGCTGCTTCGTATTGTAGGACGACTCCCCACTAGATGGAGTGATGACCTGTGCAAATGTGCGGGGAGTTGATGGAGGCAGGTGGAAATGATGATGGTGATATGTTTATATATGTGTTTTTACACAGTTAATACGCTGTTATAACCGAATCAAGAAATTGTTAAATTTTGTTAGCGGTTAGGTAGGTTAAGTTATATAGGTTAGATTCGTAAGATTTGATTATATTAGATTCAGTGTTATTTTAAGCTTTTTAGTGCTAATAGAGTTTTTTTGGAGTTGGTTCTCTTTTTTTCTTTGTTAAAAAACTTTTATTATCCAACAAAGAGTACTGGCACAGGGGATAAAATTTTATGTATTATTTATTTTTCTTATGTTACGCGAAAGAAGTATAACTTCTTAATTGCGTCCATAAGTACACATTTATAGTGGAGGCGAAAAAAGGCTTGTAGCTCACCTTAGCTCGACGTGGCCCCCTCTCAACAGCAGGGCGAGGTAGTCGCCAGTGAGGTCATCATGCTCCCCCGTAAGTAGCACCACCCCGCGGGCTCGTTCGGGCCTCACGCGAACCCTTAAGCGGACCCTCTTGTAGGCGCCGCGTAGGGCCCGTAGCGCCAGCCAGGAAGCGCCTGAGAAGCGCGGCGTAGACACCTGCATGTCTGCGGAAAGAGATTCCGTTAGTATTGGTTCGTAGAGGCCATACGTAGGCCGTAGACGCACTACAAGGTAAGCAAAAAATATCTAATTGGTGCTTAGAGGATATAATTTCTCCGTAGACTCGCTACGAGATAAGCAAAAACGAGATTGATTGACAGAGTTTAGCAACGTTTCTTGAACTCTTCCAAACCATCACTCAGATTGTATTTAGTAAATTATCGGGGGTTTCTTTGCTAAATAAAACTTCTTTATGATGCAGAATTTGTACAGTACACGGAGGTTCGCTGTTATAATACATCGCACACACTTTATTGAATTTTATATTGAATATTACACTGTTCCACAAATACTTTGTTTACAGTGTTCACAACAACGAGGCAGGCCTTTGATGTAATGTGATTACCACATTTAATCCGCAAGCTGGATCGTACACCAAATGCTGAAAATCCCAAACAACGTATACACCGCCCTGTCTTTGGTCTTTAGGCTTTAATGATTGAGTTAATTGAACATTCTATGGGTAGAAAGCCAATCCTCAACGCATAAATTCCCGTGTTGTTGCTGCAGGAAGACCAAGGTGTTGAGCGTGACCTGCGGATTGGATGGAACTTTTCTTGCATAGTGCCCTGAACGCCTGCAATATTCTCTGGTAATTTATAGAATATAGAAAGTGAAGTTTATTAAAAAAACAAATCATGTAATAGGAATTAATTTCTTAGTAGTGGTCGCAAAACTACCGTTACAAAACCAAACATCCGAGAATTACGCAAAAGCACATATTTGCCTAAATGTATTTGGCATTGCGTAGTTTATAAGCGTACTAAATTGCGTGTTAAAACCAACTTGACGTAGCTGCTATTGTATTCAGATATTCCAAATTGTAATTACACAAGCATGTACGGTTAAGACGTTGAAATTGAAACTTGGCTTAAGCTCGGTGGCGGTTCTGAATGTCACCGGCTCGTCATTGAATCTAGTTTAGACGGATGGGACGCGTCTGTCAGGGACAAATTAACCGAATATCGCTGCGCGTAATTCCCGGATCATATTATATTTCCTGAAAATTGTCCAGGATTTGTACCTTTAATTAATGAGGATTTCATTACTTTTTAACTCAATGCCTAGGAGAAATATTATGCGACGAGTAGAACAGATAAAACAAAAAAGACAGGTAAATCGGAATAATTAGTTTAAGCTCATATAAATTCTGTTTTCCGTGTGGCTATCACACCCACAGCCTATAGCAACACCCTATAAATTCTCCGAAGTATAGAGGAAAAAGACAAGAGCTTACTAATGGTAAGTAATCACCCACCGATATATGTATTATACGACACCAAAGGTCATGAACTCTTGGATTTTATTAATGAATCTTAACCAGACTAAATTATGAATACTACTTGAATGAAAAAAACCAATGAGTCTATTAAAGGGATGAGTATTGAGATGGCGGCTGATAGAGAAAAGCGGAAAGTAATGTTGAGTCGACCCGAAAAACAGAAGACAAGAGGAACCGTTTCATCGTTTGGCATACCCAATAAAAAAAACTGTTTAATTATTTCATACTGACTATGACATCATAAACATCACCGCTGAGTGGTGCAGTCTGGGTACATTTTATATTAAGGATTTTCGACGCTAAACACACTTGTTACCAAACATTATTGCTCATTGTGTATGCACGAAACTCGATAGATATGCCAAAGTATGTTTGCAGTAAGTCTCGAGATTCCGCCGACGGCACCTGTGGCCTTGGTTTTTCGCTCGCTCCAATCCTTAGGGACGTAACAAACACTGTCCCGAAAATATGTAACGTTAGACAGTTAAACATTATTATTTGCAGGTCATCCCTTGGGGTTTGTAAAATATTGGCTTCATTCAATTTGAGACTGTTATTGGAACTGTAAAATATAGGAGATAATTAAGTTGGTTGAGAAATTGTTCAATGATTGGTATCTTGAAGAAATATGCTAAGTTTTTGAACGTTTAACATCTGAGTCCAGGATCATATATCCTTTTAATATAATACTAGTAATTATCATTTCAAGATTATTGCTTAACCTTCGGGTATTAAGCCAAGTAAGCCATAAGTCTGCGTCAGAATATTATTTCCTTTGATTCGGCCCGGAAGATTGGAATAAGATATAGCCTCCAGTTGGGTATAATTCTATATATTTCATTATATTCATTCCAATATCCAAAGTTTTAATTGTTAGTCAGCTAAAAATCTTTTACAAAATACTTAATTAAAACAAGCAATGATAAAGCGGTTTTGTAACTTTAGTTATGTTAGTTTTGAGTAAAATAAGAAATGCTATTATTATTATTTTCACTATTAACATTCGTTCCACCAACGACGAAAGTTCTAATTCAGGGGTGCCATCATATTTATTATCGGAATCTATCACCGCCTCCCGTTGACAGCCCTAAATCGACGTCCCAAGAATGCAAGGCGCTTGAATTATGTTAAGTGAGATCGAGGGGTCTCAGAGCACTGCCGTATACTGAAATGGGGTGTTCGGAGAGAATCGGAAATGCGCTGAATACACAAATGGTTGTTATCTACGACGGGGTGCAATCCCATATCCGCTATCGTTGATCCCTGCAAAGTTTTCGCAAAGCGTCGGCTGGTCATCGATCCGTAAAATAATATATTCAATGATTTTATACCTTCAATGATTTTGATTTTATAATTCCAGACGTTTTGAAACCTTTCCTCTGGAAATTATTCATCGTTACGGGACAGACTGTTTAATTAAAATTACGATAAAATCCGTAAACTAGAACTTTCTACATATTTTAAAATCCGTAAACTAGTTTCATTTAATATGTATTCGCGTAAAATCAAGAAATCAATTATCTTAAAATTTGTAGAAAAAAGAAACGAAAAGTTTCTTGCAGCTGTGGGAATCGGACCCACGTAGTAATGTACATTCTAAAACATAAAAATTAAACTTAAAATAAAAAAAAGGAAAACAAATTTTAATGTTTTCATAAAAATCATTTAACATTATTGTATTCACACGAGTACTGTTGGTGGAAAATGTTTTATGGGTTTTGTCCAGTTGAACATATTTAAATAACAGACAGACCAGACAGAGGGCTGTCTGTTCCGTGACGATGAAAGTCATAAAGTGTTCGAAATGGCGCGAGATTAAAAACAAATTAAATGCGATAAAATGGGAACAACACGTTTTATTCCGTAATAAAAAAAACATTTACTAGAATGATACCGAAATACAATAAAAATGTCTGTTTAAATGCTTTGTATTTTCTTATATTAATACCTGAAGGAAAAACTTTGTACCCCGTTTTACTAAAATTTCGCTGACGGAGTATGAAATTTCCCACGCTTATAGTTTATATAAGGAGGTATAGGTACAGAATGCTAATATTTTTTTTAATTTTGCATAAAAATACATTAAATAAAAAAAAACGTGACACGCTCTACCATGTGTTTACGACCACTATACCTGTAAATGTGTATTTACGGTGGTAGGGCCATTCAGCAGCCTCGGCTGTTGCACGAATGGGCAGGCTCGTCCACGTCCTCACAGACGTCCGTCCGAAACCGTCGTAAAGAGGAAGTAGAAATAAGCAGTAGTAATACTTTCGCGTTTCGCCTGGTGAGTGAGGTGGCCAGAGCCCAATTTTCAAAAGGTTGTCAACGCATCTGCAACCCTCGGGTGTAGCAGACGTTCATGGGCGGCGGTATTCACTTAACATCAGGTGAACCGTCTGCTCGCTTGGCAAATTTTCACATAAAAAGAAATAAAAAAAATTAGCATGACAGGCATCGCTTTGCGTTGAGGTTAAATTTTAATTAGACGTTTTCGGAATAAAGTTATTAGGAGAAATAATATTGTACTATTAATTAGCCCTACTTACCTCTGCCGGCTCCTTCGTAATACATGGAGCATTTCTTACGCACACACGTATATAAGATACATACGAGCAATTAGTCGACGACATCCCATCCCTTTACGCGTGTTATTTCCAGACGTAATCGCGTAAAACAACACAATTAGTGTACTGCTTACGAATTCCCCCCGACCCGGGCAAACATTCTCAAGTGACGGCCTCGACTTGAGGAGTAACAAGTTGTTAATTACGCGGCTACTCGTTTCTGTGCCCGGTTATTGAATTTCAACGGGAGGCGTTTTATTTGTTGAGAAACGGTGAAGAAACTATGTCTGGACTTAGAAAATGTGAAAAGTGTAATTTTAAGGGTTCCGTACCCAAAGGGTAAAACGGGACTATATTAATGAGACTCCGCTGTCTGTCTGTCCGTCTGTCACCAGGCTGCATCTCATGAACTTTCATAGTTCGAAATTTTCAGGGATGATGTATTTCTTTCGCCGCTATAATAATAAATACTAATAAAACAGAATAAGAAAATTTTGAAGTGGGGCTACCATACAACACACATGATACAAACGAACTTGTGTGCGTGTTAGTTATGAATGATCGCGCGTAAAATAAATGAGTTGCGTATAAATCATGCACTTTTTGAGATAAGTTCATTATTTACTTTGTTCATTGTTCATTATTGTAATTAATTACTTACGAGTGCTTTAAAATAATTATCAATTTTTATAAAACATTATTTATGTCTAGAATTTAATTAAAAAAATGGATACACTTAGAGATGTCTCCATGTATAGAAGTGTAAACGTAGCATGATAACGAAGCTTAGCGTTTAATTTACGATAAGAAGTATAAGAGACAAGCTGTTCGTGCTATTCATCCGCAAGAAACTTTTCTGCGTTCAAGAAACTTTTCTAGATAGGTCATAATAATAATAATGTATTTATTTGCGAAATATAGGTTAGGCATGAGGTGTACAACACAGTAATTTTTATCGCTATATTCTACCCATTTTGTAGGGTGTGCAAATATGATATGTTCGCTTAAAGGTTGTCAGTATACATTCTCAAATTTCTTAATTATTATAATCATAAAATAAAATTGAAAAAATTATATAGACAGAATATTAAAATAA